AGCTTTAGGACATACTCATCATAAACATGAAAATGTTGACCACCTCGGTGATGATGATCTTGATGATTACGTTGAAGATGAGCATGGTGACATTGCCAGGGACGCAGGTGGCAGCTGCCGTGCAGGATATGATGACATTGATAACGGTGACGATGAGACGACGATGGTGATGATTCTGATGACGATGGTCATGATGATGTTGCCGTTGAAGTTGCTGATGATGATGATGACGATGGTGATGATCATGATGATGGTGATGATGATGATGAAGATGATGATGAAGAGGATGATGATGACGATGATGGTGCTGATGATGACGATGGCGAGGATGGTGATGGCTCAGAATCAGGTGGTGATAATGTTAGATAGGAAGCAGAAGGTGATCGAGATGGTTCATGTTATCCTTTGCGCGAAATTGTGTAATTTCTGGACCACTGTCGCTGGCAACAACATCATCATGATCATCATTGTCATCACAAACATCGTCGTCGCTAGTTCCTGGTCCTCCGCCTCGTTCTTGCTTGTCTCATTGTCGTCATCCTCGTGTTTGCCGTCCTCGATTTCGTCTTCGTTCTCTGTTTGGCCCGCACGATATTCAATATTCACGTATGACCATCATATGTGCATGAATATGTGTATATATATATATACACACATCATACACACATACATACCTACATACGTAAGTTCATATACATTCATGTCTGTCTCTCTCTCTCTATATATATATATATATCCCTACACAGCATATCTATAACTGTAATATAACATACTGTAATAATAAAATGTATACAGTATAGTACCAGACAATGATATCCATACTGACAAGACTATAACAGTAGTAACAGTAATAATGATAATAGTAGTAACAATGTTTGTAATAGTGATTATATATATATATATGTGTATGCAATTCTGCATATATACATACATTTACATATATATGTATATATGTATGTATGTATAAATATACATATATATATATATATATATACCGTGTATTTATGTATACGTGTGTATATATACATATGTACATATGTTATATACTACAATTAAACAATGAGCACCTACATACACACATACATATACATACATACATACATACATACATACATACATACATACATACATACATACATTGCATACATAAGTACATACATATGCACATACATATAGACAAGCAAGCATGCCTACGGACGCTCATGCATCTGAGCATGAATGCGATTATGTTGTGCACATAAGTGCTTATCTATTCTTGGATGCTTCACACATGCATACGTATATATAAACATATACCTTCCTTCGGTTCCTGATGACGAAGTCCAGGGGTGGAGCGCTTCCTTACCGCCGCGGACCGCGCGCTCCTGACGCGCGTGGTGCAGGATGCAGGCACGGCTGAAGGCCCCGGGTGTGTGTAAGGCTTGTCGAACTTCTTGTTGAAGGTTTATGGGGTTCTTGTTAAGGGATTTAGTTTAAGTTACCATAATAAGGAAACCATTGTATTTACTATAGATCCCTATTATGGTAACTTAAATTAAATCCCTTAACAAGAACCCAGTGTATGGGGTTAAGGTTTAGGAATGTTTAGGCTTAGGTTAGGGTCTAGGATTCTGGCCCATGGAGTTTATGGCGGTAGTAAGTTTTTGCAATGGGTCTGCGTGTAACTTTCGGGTATATGAGGCTGTTGCCTTCAGCCGCTGAAAGCAGGTCAGCGGCCCAGGATATTCTTTGAATGGATCCGGATTACCGGTTGCATGTCAAACCCACCCTTCGCGAACCTGCCTTTGGGTAACGGCCTGGGAGTCTGGCCCGGTCCAGTGGCATCCCTAAATGGTACACTCCTACGAGGCGCAGAGTAGCGGCTAAAACACACGACCAGACATGCTGCGGGAAGTTGCACGACCTCGTAACGTAATGTCTCAAAGCCGCTTACAAAAACATGTGTGACTGGTTTAGGTTTGGTGTTTAGGGTGGATGTTTGATCCAGGCTATTGCAGCTTCAGGGTATTTCGGTATTGAGTTGCTGGTTTCAGGCTTTACGTACTTTATTTTTTAAGGCCGGTGTTGGAGTTTAGCGGCGATGGGTTGCGGTGTCCATGAGCCCTATGAACCCCCGAACCCACAAAAGCACCCCTTGGATCTGTTTCGAAGAGCTCCCGGTTTGAGTTGAGAAAGAAACCTAAACCCTAAACCCTAAACCCTATTCCTTAAACTCTCAACCCTGAACCCTAAACCCTGAACCCTGAACCCTAAACCCTCAACCCTAATCCCTAAACCTAAACCC